CGCGCGGCCCCATGGGGGGCCCCCGCTCTAGAATGGAGTCGGGCCCGTCCCTCTACAGGTGACGAACGAACAGCACACACCCATACCCATAAGGGCGGTCGTTGGGAGGAGGACTCGCTATGGGTATAGGTGCGGGTTGTCGGACCCTGGGGAACGCTCCCGTTCGAGCGGGGACCCCCATCCGACAACACGTACCCATAGAGCCCTCTCCGACCCCCCTATGGGTATGGGTGTGTGTTGTTGGTTCGTCTACAGGAGACTGTTTTTGTTCAGGGGCCGGCGAGAGCCCGAGTTATCCGGCTTGCCCCCCCCCCCATATGCAGGGCTGGCCACAGCGCGAAGGTTAGATTATCGGCCGGCCCCCTCCTCCCCTCCCCCCCTGGATAACCCGAGTTATCGCCGATTCAAAAAAATTGCCTCCAGGAGGAACATTACAAAAGTTGTCAAAAAATAGCCTGGGGATACTGTTTGATAATGTTTGGCTATTTTGTTGCATCTTTGGAGTATTCTTACTTGCTGTTCGCTCAAAATCCGCCTGCAGAGGCGGACACGCCCGACCTAAATCTAGAATCGGCGGCGAGCGAGGAGGGAAGTGAGAAGGAGAAGGCCTTCTCAGAAGGCGACGGGACTCCCCAGAAGACCTCGCGCCTCCTGAGAAGCTTTCTGCGCCTCCCTCCGGGGGGGGGGGGGGGCTCAGCGCATACTTCTCAGAAGGCTGGCCCGGGGGACTTCCGAGCCGATCTGAGAAGGCCTCCTCCCTCTCGCTTCCCCCCGGGCCCGCCACCGATAGCAGGCTCCCGCCGGCCTGCGCGGCCGCCGACCGGCCCCCGCCGATAGGGCGAGCCAGCCAGGGGGGGGGCCCGGCCGAGGCCGCGGCTGCTGTCCACACTCGGCAGGGCGGCCCTGCCTGCAGAGACAAGGTTCGGGGGAGCTCGGGAGGGAGGGGGACACTTATTCAGACCTCCTCGCTTGCCGGTTTGAAGCATATCCCTATCCCTATGTTTGACATCACCTCACCTCGATGCCGATCTTATGTAAGGATTCCCTCAGTTTCTGAGGGCCTATCCCTAAGATTGTCCTCGCTTTTTGCTCGCCCATCTTAGGGATAGGGATAAGTTCCAGCCCTCCTCGCGCTGTGAACAAAGTCACGACGCGGGGGGGTCTTCGCTACTTTCGGCCTCCATGGGGGTCCTCGCCGGGCCTCGGGGCCGTCCAACACCGACTCGGGACGGAAAGCGGGTCCCGGGGAAGGGGACCTCTGGGGGTCGACGTTGCGAAAAAAGCACGACGTCGGGGGTTTGGGTCTTTCTCTTTTTTTGTTCTCTCTCTCTCTCTCTATGTCTTTCCCCTCCCTCCCTCTCCCTCCCTTCCCAGACATCTGGCCGCACAACGTTTTTCGATGCGTGGGTCCCCAGAGGTCTAGACCACTTCCCCAGGGCCGTTCGTTCCTCCTGAGCAGTTTCTCTTACGATCCTGGGGCACGTCGACTTCGGGGGTTGGGGTTTCACCACTTCGCATGCTGGGGGTGCCGCTGGGTGGACCCCCTTCCCCGGGGCCTGGTATATAGGCGAGGAGCATGCAGCTCTGGTGTGGAGCTCCAGGCGGCGGGCGCTCGGCCTCGGGGAAGGGCAGCTTGCGGGCACTGCTCGCGACGGGAGCCTGCGCGCGGCGGCCCAGGTGGGCGCGCGCCCCGACAGAGGGGTGTCGTTGAGCGGTGCGGCAGGAAGGATGGCAGGGAGAGGAGGGAGGGCGAGGATCGTATCGGATCGACCCGGCAGGAGGGAGCGTCGAGGACCACAGCGCCGCCTGGGGCTTCCCTCGGGTGCCACCAGACTGGCGAGCATGAGCTTTCAGAAATCAGTTCGAGCAGTACTTACATCCCGCCCTGCCCAGCGGCCAGAGAAAAACACCGCGGCCCGAGCCATCCACTTTGGCCGCGGACTCAAGATTTGAGACCCCTTGAAGATGTGAAGCAAAGCTTTTCAGCTCGTACTGCTTCATACTCTCAAGTGTTCATCGCCACCCCTCAATTCTAGGGCGACTGCTTGTGCCGTACATTGTTCGGCCAGGGTCCGGTCCCCATAGAAGGACGAAATCACCAGAGGGGGTGCGCGAGGAAGGGGCAGGGCGGATACCGATGGGTGCAACCGATGACTAGCAGCAGCCTGAACCTGAGCGCTACATGTTGTCTGAGGACAGAAGGGGGAGGCTGGAAAAATCGGCGTTGGGAATCGCTGCGGACTGAAGGTGGAGGGACTATGAGGGTAGAGTGGTATCGTCGTCGATTCGCTGACGAGTCCCTTTTCGCCTATTCACCTTCGCTCGCGATGCTTTTCGAGGAGTCGAACAGCAGATTCCTCGCGGCTCTCTGTGTCCGGAAACGTGTCGGATCCCACCATCCTTTCTGAAAGCCACTGCGCAATCGCGGCGGATTGGCCATCATGATGTCTGGCAGGCCTGCACACAGCAGGCCATATGCTGGCACCCCCGCCGTCCCTTTCAGAAACCGATGCCGACTAATCGCGGTGTGCCCGCGCATGACCCACGATTTTGTCGCAAAGTCCACTTGACATTGGTTTTTGACAGGAGTGGCCAGGGGGGGCTCATTGACCTGGGTTGGTCGCCGGTCGGTTTGGAAAGGGGGTGCATCTTATTTTTGAACAATGATCATGTTTCCAGTGAAAACGCCGCAAGTTGTCTCGCTCACTCCCACCCGCTCGCCCTCTACATGAAGTAACACCCGAAAATTAGGCGGGGGCCGCCATCGACGACCATCGGGAGCCAGGTGCGCGAAGCCCGCGAGGTGCACCGCACATGCCAGGTGCGCCACGCGCACCAGCTTCACCACACTGGGCATTGTGCCGACCCCCTCATCATCCCTGTCAAAAACCAACTCAAAGTGACGGCGGGTTTTCGAATTTTGTGTGCTGTGTGCGGGCACAGCGCCCGCAATCGCTTTGCACCTGTTTTTGTCAGCCAGGGTGGGCCGGCACGCAGCAGGCAATGATACCCGCCCCCCCGCCGTCGCTGTCACAAGCCAGTGCAGAGTGGTCGCGCGCAGGATCCAGATTCTGGTGCGAAGTGTACACGTTGTTCATTTCTAATTCGTGGAAAGTTCTTTGATTTTTTTTGGGGGGCAAAATCCTTTCATTTCGGCCTCCTCCTGGCCACTGGGGGGCCAGGAACAATGAGAACTGAGCGCAATTAGCAATGAGCACGATTAGAACTGAACGACGCGTACTTTGTTTTGCTTTTTGCAAGAGATGGTTTTGGGGCGTCGGCGGCGCGCGCAGCAGGCAGCATGCCGCCACCCGCCCGCCGCACCTGTCAAGAGCGCGCGCAAAGGGATCGCGGGGCGTCTGCGCGTGATCCAGAGGGCGGTGCAACGCGCCCTTTGTAACCTCTAGAAGTCTATAGTTTTGGGCCCCCCCCCTGGAGCTCTCGGCGGTGAATAAACTGTTTCTCCCTCCTCCCTCCCTCCTCCTCCTCCTCCTCCTCCTCCTCCTCCTCCTCCTTCGCCTCATAGCGTTACTCCTCCTCCTCCTCCTCCTCCACCTCCTCCTCTTGCAAGGGATGGTGAGGGGTGGCGGCATTGGACCGGGTTTGTCGCCGGTCGGGTGGGAGAGGGGGTGTACATCAATGAGGGGCAGTGAGGAACGATGAGCCACTCCCCGAAGGGGAAGGATCGGGGTTGCAAGAGAAAGCGCTCTAGACCACCTATTCCCTGTGCTCCGAGGTCGGCACAATTTTAAGCCTTCCATTCGTTCGCGTCGGCCTCTTCCTCTTCCTTCCTGTCCTTCCTTCTCCTTCTCCTTCTCATCATCATCACCACCATCACCATCATCACCATAATTATTGTAATCGTCATAATCGCCCTACCCTTTCCTCGTGCTCATCTTGGTCATCCTGCTCATGCTACTGCCGTTCTTGCCGCCGCTGGTCCTCCTGCTGCTCGTCCTCTTATTCCTCGCCTGCCTCCACCTCCTCGCTGTTCTCCTGACCTTGCCATTTCGGGAGGCGACGAAGGGGAGCGCGGGAGGATCAGGACGAGGAGGGTGAGCAGGAGAAGGAGGAGGTCGTGGATGCCTCCTCTGTGGGGTGCGGTCTGCGCGATGGCAGCGTCTCAGTGTCTCAGCGTGCGGTCTGCTGTTTCTCTTGGTGTCCCTAGCTCATCCCAATTTGTCGGCCTGCCCCGTCGGTCCTCTGATGGTGCACCAAGACAGTCGGCGATGTTCGAGCCAGTCGGATTGTGTGTGAGTTTGTGTGTGTATGTGTTTGTGTGTGCGTGCGTATGTGTGTGGTGGGGGGGCGGACCTGTCAGCGGCGTGGGCATGGGCAGCTGTTCCTCCTGGTGGAACGTGCCGTCACATGACATCTAAGGCTGGGCTTTGCGTCGATCCGTAGTCGTCGGTTCGGCCTTAAGGCTCCTACGGATCCACAGCACTGCAAGCATCCACGTGACACTGTATCTTGCTTACGTATCATTATGGCAGTTTCTGCCGGCATCCGCATCATGTTCATGTTGCACGTGCTACTTGCCCCTGCCAGCTGTGTCCAGAGGTTTGCCAGTGCAAGCGAGTCGTTTGCCGATGGTGGTAAGTCTGATGGTCGGACGGGCGCGACACTTGATGATCATTCGGGCAGCAGGTTCGACGACAAGTTCGAATTTGATGCCAAAGTGGGCGCTAATCTTGACTCTGGTAAGTCCCAGAGCCGCGTCACGGTTTATGGTACGGAGCAATGGCTCGCCATTGGCAAAATGAACAAGCTGGGTGTGACCAAGTACACGGCCAACACCATCGCGAAGAAGAAAAGAGACGACGGCAATTTCTTCTGGGCCGATTCTGTCAACCGCGAGGGGAGGGCCGTCTACCATGGCGCGAAGGACCTCACAGAGTCCGTCTCGTGGGGCTGGCACCACCCGAGCAGCCTATACGGAACCATCCCTGTGGGCAGCCCCCTGATTGACGACGATATGAACATCTACCTCGCCTCCGACGATGCGATCCGGAAGTTCGACGTCAACGGATCCATCTCGGGTGTTGCCAGAAGTGCCCCTGGCCCAAAGTGCCCCTAGGATTCCCAGGGAGGCCCCAGCGGCCTCCAGAGCACCCAAAAACCCCCAGGGCCTCCGGAATGGAGCGAAAAGCTGCGGGGCACCTTTGGCCAGGGGCACTTCTGGCAACACCCGGCCATCCTGTGGAGCTACGCTCCCCGAGGCCAGCTCGCGGCGGCGCCCGCCTTGTCGACCGGCTGCGCCCCGCGCCAGTCGGCCAGCATGGTGTTCGACATCAGCGCCGAGGAGGAGTCGGTCCTCTTCCTCCTCCTCCTCCTCCTCCTCCTCCTCCCCCTCCTCCTCTCCCTCCTCCTCCTCCTCGTCCCCCTCCTCCTCCTCCTCCTCCTCCTCCTCCTCCTCCTCCTCCTCCCCATGCCCCTCCTGCTCTTTCCTTCCTCCTCCTCCTCCTCCTCCTCTTCCTCCTCCTCCTCCTCCTCCTCCTCCTCCTCCTCCTCCTCCTCCTCGTCTTGCTAGAAGTGCCCCTCGCCCCAGGTGCCCCCCAGGATTTCCAAGGAGGCCCCACGGCCTCGAGAGCAACCCTCACGAGGCCCAGAGGGCCCCAGGGGCTCCAACGTGGAGCGGGGCACCTATTGGGCCAGGGGCACTTCTAGTAGCACCCGAAGGAGGAGGCGCTGCGGCCAGACTGGCTCAAGGGGAGCGGGTCCGACACGGAGCACTCTGTACAGTTCTTCAAGGACTTCAGGGTCGGCGACCTTGTGAAGGTGAAGGCCGGGGCGAGCTACCGGGCAGACGGCAGTCGGGAGGGAAAGAAACACACAGAGCAAATTAATCGACTCCCAGGAAAATATGGGAAAATATGGGAAGTGGGGGGAAAACGAAAACGCAGAAAATAAGGAAGGAGAATATGGGAATCCTGGGATTTGTGTGTGTATTTATTTGTGTGTCCCTGGGCCCCTTCAGGCAGGGAGCTCTACACGGCCGGCGATCAGGGGCGGATCTCCGGTGTCGTTCCAGGCGGCGACGGCAAGCACGGCAGCGCGGTGATCGAGTGGGTGCGCACTGGGCGCAAGAGCGCGGTGCAGTTCGACGCCATACAGAACCATTTTGCGCGCGTAGAGCAGAAGGTGGCCACATGCACCCCAATGCTGGTCGGGAGCACCACCTCTGGGTATGTGTTCGCCATCGAGCTGTCTACTGGGTACGAGGTGTGGGCACTGCAGGGCTCGTCTACGATCGCGGGCGTCAAGGGGGCTTTGGCTTCCAAGAACGGAATCGTAGTGGTCGCGACCAACCGCTGCACTGACCGGTACTGTTACAGGTATCGCAACCAGACCAACGTCCTCATGCCGGGCAACACGGTGGTGCGGGGCCTGAATCCCGCAAACGGCGTCGAGGTCTGGAATTTCGTGCCCGAAGCGCCCGTGTGGAACATGAACCCAGTCTGGGGCCCAGATGACACAGTGATTTTCAACGACCAAGAGGGCAGCGTGTACTGCCTGACACTCTCGACCGGAAGCCAGGTATGGAAGGGCGACGGCAAGCTTGGGACATACACCGAAGCAGCCGCTGTATACGACGCGGTCAACAACGTGGTGGTCGCCCTCGGCATGCTCCAATACGATGCTTTTACGCCGCATCGAGCACATAATAATCCTGTGGGATGCAATCCTCATGTAGCGCCTGGCATCCTTCCCAGGTGCGGGAACGCGCCATTCAAGCAAGGCTTCGTCCGTGGTTACAACGGCACTTCTGGCCGGCTCCAATGGGAGAAATCGATGCCGCATCCGCCGGCCAGCGCAGTTGTTGGCCGACCAATGGGTTTGAATTCACAAGTGGTGCTCACCTTGGGCCATAATTGCGCACGCGGCTCCCCTACTAAAATCCTTCTCCTGGATCCTCTCACCGGAGGCTCCTACTCGGTCGATGGCCCGACGCTGTGGAGTGGGATGTGTGCCGGGGACAAGGAAGGAGGCGACATCCGCAGGGCCATGGGCGGCCGTGCCGCGTGCAATCCAGGCAGCTGGTCCGCACCGGTTGTCGATGAGGATGGTGACGTGTACGTTGGTAACCAGGTCGGCGTGTATCAGAGGTGGGGCTCGCCGACCAGGACGGGGACGGGGCGCAGGGACTTCCAGTTGCTCTCAAGCCTGGTGACCGGTGTGGCCTTCCAGGACGGGGCCACGGCGCTCGCCGATGGCCTCATGGCTGTGGCCACATGCACCTCTCTCATCGTCTTCCAGACGGCGAACTTCTCAGAGCAGTTTGCGAACACGACCTGGAGCTTCCCGCAGCACGGCTACGCAGCGGACTTCAACGAGTCGTCGGCGGCCTACACGCGATAACTCGGCGGCGCCTTGCCATACTCCTCAGGACCATGCTGCGTGCCAGACGGTGCGGCTTCGGCAGCAGAGGCTCCATTGCAGGCTTTCAGCGCAGGTTGTCGGCTCTTTTGACCCTCGACACGCCGCATCGCTTCGGTGACAAAAAGCCAGCACAACCTACTGCCGGACAAGGGGCGCCCTCATCCAGTCATGCAATGGGTTTGCCTGGGTCGGCGACACGCTGCCTGGAGGCCCCTGCGGATCCCTTTGGCGACCTCCCAGAGACCGTTGAGGAGGGGGATCTAGACTAGAGTAGTGGGTCCAGTCTAGGTGCAGATGGGTCGACGGTGAGAGTTGCCATCGCTCATTGCTCGTGTACTCGCGCGTGCAATCGTGCGCAATTGTTCAGAGTGGCGGAAGCTATTGCACGTGCAGCATATGTTGCATATGATAAGAGCTACACAGTTGCATCCACGCGCGACTATTGCATCTAGCGCGCAAGCTATTGCATCCACACGCCAACTACTGCAGGTGCTATTGCGCCTCTCCCGCGACCCATCTGCGTCAGACCCACTACTCCGGCTCAAAGCGGAGGAGATATCGCCTTCCGGCCAGGCACACACCCGGTCTGGAGCGGTACCCCCCCTTTTGTCCGGAACAGGGCTTCAACGCGCATCAGCGTAAACGCCTCAAACGTGTTTATCTCCTCTGTTGTTCCTGTACCTGCCAGTTGCATTGTTGACCTGAGCGAATGTTGGTTGACGATGCCCCAGCACCCACGTTGTTTCTTTTGCCTATTGCGTGGAACGCTGGCTTGCCATCACCGCTTCAGCGTTGGCCACGTTCTTACAGTGATCACGCCTCAGCGTTGGCTGGAAACCTAGGCCAGCCTAACCCAATCTGGTCCTCTCGCCTTGGCGCAGTGCTCAGTCTCAGCTCGGAGTAGGCATTCCAAGCCCACAGTCGCATGATCATTTCCGCGCCAGACACGCTTGTGTCTAGTATAGCGCCAAGGCGGAGCCGTCGTAATATTTCTACATCGACTGTCTCCTCCTGCCGCTTTCACACTTCGCTTCTATCCCCAGCCCGTTCCAGACGCGGACGGTCTTCGTGCCTATACCCGCGAACTGAACATATGGCTATTTCCACCCTGGTGCTGGCCACATGAGTGAAGGTAGCAATCAGGGTTTATATCGCGGTCGAGACCTCGATAGAGGGAGATATGGCTAGAGCTCTAGGTTTGGATGAGTTCGGCACTGGCATGACAGCCGCAATCACGCCAATAATCGTGCCACCGTCTGATCGTGCGCACAGCATAGCACAACTAAGCACGTGCAAGCAATCACGCAAGCAAGTGCCAGTGCCAGCAAGCAAGGACAACGATTGACTAAAACTGCTCAGGCGCCTGCGATCCTTCGAACGCCTTCACACGTCCAGCAGGGTCGCCGACGGGACCTCGTGGGAGCCGACGGGCCGGAAGCTCAGGGACAGCGGAGGGCCGCACGAGACACGGGTAGTTGGCCTTCGGGGGGCCCCCTCGTCGCCACGGCCGGACGCAGCGAGGACAGCTGGTGCGTGTGGACCCCCGTGAGGGGTCTGGGGACCGGCTTGGAGCTCCCAGCGTCTCCAGCCGCCCTGCTCCGACAGGGGGCCTCGCCCGCGCCCTCGAGCAGCAGCAGTCCCCCGGGGACGGGGGCCGCCCTCTCGGCGGGGATCGCCTGCCCGTGGGGCGCCGACCGGCCCGCGGACCTGGGACCCCGTGGCCCCCGGGGCACGGCGCAGCCGGGCCCTGGCGCACTCCCCCGTGCAGCTCGCCCCGCGGAGCGGAGCACGGTGCACGCAGAGCTCCCGAGTGGTCCAGCGGGCGGCTGGCGAGCACGCACGGCAGCAGCCAGGAGGAGGCGGGAGAGGGGGGATCGAACGGAGGGTGCGGAGCGATGGCAAGAAGAGGAAGAAGCGAAGCGAAGCGGAGCGAAAGTCCGACGGTCGAGCACCATTCGACCTCTCGTCCCGCTCACGGGAAGGACTGGCAAACGAGTGAGGTATATCAGGCGGTGGGCATGTGGGCGTAGGGCCAGCACACCTTCCCGGATCCCCCCCTTGCTTCTGGCATGGGAAGTCCTGCTCCAGACCTGTTTTGGACTTTCCTCCAGGAGATTGTGGGATAACAACAAGTGCCCGCCAACCTATCCCAAGACAGCTCTCCGAAGACTCCGAGGAAGCTTGTCAAGAGAGCCCAACAGATCCCAAAGCTGCAGACCCCCAGAGGCCACAAGAGGGCCCCCAAAGGCCCTCCCCCCTGCCCAGGAGGCATGCTCTCTGACATGTCCAGGATTCCTGATGCTCAATGCCAAGGAGGCTACGCCGTGACCATAGAGCGCACGTAGACGTCGTAAGTGGCTCTGACGAGGGCCCCAAGATGGCCCCGGAACGCCCCAAGAGGGGCCCCAAGAGGACCGAAGAGTACCTCAGGAGGGCCCCGAGACGGCCCACGAGAGACCAAGACGGCCCAAGAGTGCCTTCAGACGTTTGAACAAATTTCCACGAAGGCCACGGGAAAGCCAACGAACGCCCCAAAAGGGCCCCGAGATGGCCCAGAGGACCCAAGATGTCATCATGTCGCGTTTGGGTATTTTGCACGGAAGCGACACGGCATGACACGGGCTTTCGCTTCCCATCTCGTGCTTTGCTCCAGAGAAGTCCTATTCATCTTTCCGATCGGTGGCCATCTCAGAAATCTCCTGGCCCCTGGCCATGCTGTGGAGATTCTGGCCACGACCGCATTTCAGAATATTGGACAATTCCCGAGGCCGCCTTTGAACTTCGTCAGCGATCAGGGCACTCTTGGGTCGATCTGGAGGCGTCTTGGAGGCATCTTCTGGGGCCAGACAGATGAGATACTCCAAATCCTTTATTAATCGACCCCCCCTAAAAAACTAGACCCCCCTCCAAATGCGTCCTAATATTCCGGACCCCCCTCTTCGACGGGGCGCCTTGATAAACCAGACCCCCATACGCTTCCATCAAAAGAAAACGCCCTAATAAACCGGACCCCCCGAGTTTCAAAAAAGACGCCCAAAAAAAACGGACCCGAGGGGACGACCAGGAAGGTATTTGGAGTACTCGCACGGCGGCTGGAGCTGAGTTGTATGTTGAGAGGCGTTGGAGCGGAACGCGCCCCCCCATAGCATGGCCTGCCTACGCCGCCTTGTACCGAAGACGGGGGCTGCAGATCCGAAGGCGTCTCCTGCGAGTAACCGCGGCCCGTTGCGATGGGCCTGTTTTCCACCACTACCACCATAAGTCGGAGGGGGAGGGGGTCCTCCTCCTCCTCCTCCTCATCATCATCATCATCATCATCCTCCACCTCCTCCCCCCTGCGACTTCCGGTGGTGATGGTGGAAAACAGGCCCATCATCTTGCTCTTCTCGGGCCCGCCCCGGCCGCTGCGGATATGCATCGGGGTTGATGGAACATTCGGGGGTACCTTTCAGTCACTGTTGGGCCTGTGGCCCCTCTGGGCAGCCCCGAGGACCCTCCGAGGCAACTTCCGGGGTCCACAAGGCTGTCCTGACGGCCTCGGGGGGCAATCTTTTAGCGGGCGGGGGTCTCGGGAACTCTGAGAGCAGCGTGGGCCATCTCGGGAGCACTCGGGCCATCGTAACAACCTTTTGAGGCGCTGTTGGGCCACAAGAGCCTCTCGGGTATTTCCTGGGCCCTCTTGGTCGCCTGGTGGGTAATCTTGGGGCTCTGAGGGGCGTCTTGAGCCGTCTCAGGGCCGTCTTCTATGCGGCCCTCTGGGGCGACAGTTGCAGCCATCTCAGGTGCTTCATGACACTTCTTTGAGCTGCAACTGAAGGGGTCCTAGCGGATGTTGAAAGAGTAAGCGAATGTTCGGTGCCGATTTCGGTGGGCGGCTTTGGTTCCCGGGGTTCCCAGGTTCCTGGTTTTCGCTTCCGGCGTTCCTGGCAGTTGGGTTCCTGGTTCCGGGGTTCCTGGCAGCGTCAGGTCCTAGGGTTGTGTAAGGATTGAGTATTGGCCAAGTGCCCCAGGAACTTGATAGTTAGTAAAAAGTAGAGGGGTCAGCGAATTGCGATCAGAGTTGACCACAGAAAGTGGATAGTATTTATATACATATATACATATATATATATATATATATGTATGGGAGAGAGAGAGAGAGTACCAGGTATCCGAATTTTGCAACCGCGGTCAGAATGAGTAGTACAGACCCGAGAGTGCAGAGCAGGGCGGAGCGGGGAGAGCAGGGAGTAATTGTTCAACAAAGAAGTGCGCAGTTCATTTGAAGGCAACCGTAAACAGCGTAGAGTGAGAGAGAGAGAGGGACAGAGAAGAGAGCCGCATGCGAGTGCAACCACTGGGACCTTCGATGAAGCTCCCTATGGGGCCCCGGAGCGCTGTACTGGGTGGGAGAGCCGCATACGAGTTCCACCATCGGGATCTTCGGTGGAGCTCCCTATGGTGCCACGGAACGCTGTACTGTGTGGGTGAGCCGAATGCGAGTTCCACCACCACTGGGACCTTGGTAGAGCTCCCCATGGGGCCCCGAAGCGCTGTACTGGGTGGGGGAGTCGCATGCGAGTTCTACCATTGGGACCTTCGGTGGAGCTCCCTATGGGGCCACGAAGTGCTGTCGGAGGGGGGGAGCCACATACGGGTTCCACCACAGACTTTCGGTGGAGCTCCCTATGGGGCCCCGAAGCGCTGTACTGGGTGGGGGAGCCGCATGCGAGTTCCATCACTGGTATCTTCGGTGGAGCTCCCTATGGGGCCACGAAACGCTGTACTGTGTGGGTGAGCCGAATGCGAGTTCCACCACGACTGGGGCCTTGGTAGAGCTCCCCATGGGGCCCCGAAGCGCTGTACTGGGTGGGAGAGCTGCATGCGAATTCTACCATCGGGACCTTCGGTGGAGCTCCCTATGGGGCCACGAAACGTTGTACTGGGCGGGGGAACCGCATGCGGGTTCCACCACTGGGACCTTCGGTGGAGCTCCCCTGGGTGCGGAGGGCAGAAGCAGGGAGGGGGAGGAGAGGAGAGGAGACGAGGAACGCGGGGCGCTTTTTTTCAAAACGAGGACCCAACACCACAGGATGGTTGGGAAAAACCACGTAGCTCCAGTTCGGGACCACCATGTTAGATACGCACAGATCATCTGGGTGGTCGGGGACACGTGAAAACACGTGAGCAACCGAAAAATCACCACGGTTATTACACATCTGGTGTTGATGTATTGGTATTGTCTGACTCCAGTACCCTCGTGTTCTTCGTGTGTGTTGGATGTTCTTGTGCATTCTGGGGGAGGGCTCTCTCGAACGTTCTTCGGTCAGTTTGGCCGTCGGAGGGTCTCATGTTCTTGAGGGGTGTTCTTCTGTCTTGGGTCCGGCTGTGGAAGTTGTGGCTGAACCCTGCGATGACAGGTGCACGGGCGTGCTCCCTTGACGCAGGATCTCCGTGCCTCTCTGGCAGGTCCGGCTGCGTGCCAAGTCCGTCGAGGACCTGCGCCCCTGGCTGGAGGCGCCCCGGCGCGACGAAGCCCGCGCGAGGCAGGGCGGTGCAGAGGGGTGCGGACAGTCGACGGAGGGAGCACGACCAGGATGTTACGGGGACCGCGACAGTCGACGGAGGGGTGCAGAGGGGACCACGACCAGGATGTCACGGCATCTTGTCAACGGCGGTCTCGGTCACGGGCCATGCTGGCCCTCGCCGACTCGCGAGGGTGATCCACGAGTCGGCGCCGAGCAAGATGGACGGAGACCAGGATGGACACCGCGGTTCCAGCGTCCAGTCTTGGTCGCTGTCCCGCTTCCTTCCCCTGCAAACAGGGAGTTCGTCTGCCATGATGTTTCACCCTCTGGCGCGTCGGTGCCAACCGTACGCGTGGGGGGGGGGGGAGCCCTGGACGCCGCTCCCACATGCCTGAGGTCGCGCGCATACTCTGGCGATTGCAGCGCACTCCTGCCCCGACGTGCCCCACCCCGCCCGTGCGTTCCTGCTACCCGCCCCCCCCTCCCCTGCGTAATGGCCGTAGTGGCCCCTCCACGTCCTCCTCCTCCTTCTCCTCCTCCTCCTCCTCCTCCTCCTCCTCCTCCTCCTCCTTCCTCCCTCCTCCTCCTCTCCTCCCTCCCCTCCTCCTCCTCCTCCTCCTCCTCCTCCTCCTCCCCCTCCTCTCCTCCTCCTCCTCCTCCTCCTCCTCCTCCTCCTCCTCCTCCTCCTCCTCCTCCTCCTCTTCCTCCTCCTCCTCTCCTCCTCCTCCTCCTCCTCCTCCTCCTCCTCCTCCTCCTCCTCCTCCCCGTCCGAAGCAGCGCCGCGTGGATCTGCTCCAGAGCCGCTGCGCCCTCGGAGCCCCCCGGGGCCTCCGAGGCGTCGCTGCCGCGTCGCACCCCCGACGGCCTCGCCCTCCGCCGCCGGGCCGGGCCCCTCTCCGGCTCCTCGGCCGTCGGGCCCTCTGGGAGGCGGCCGGGGACCCCGCGCGGGGACGGCTGGGAGCCGGCAGCACCGGCCGAGACGGTGGGGCTATGATTATGTCGGGCGTGTCCCCCTACAGGGGAATCTTCGACGAAAAATAATAAATACCCCAAAATACCCCCCCCCCAAAAAAAAGGTAAACAATACTCAAAAAATACTCCCCAGACTATTCTTGCACCATGTTTTGATTATTTTGGCATGTTTTGATTACTTGGGGGGTATCTCTTATTTTTCATCGAAAATCCCCCTGTGGGGGGACAGGCCCGACTTCAGGCTATGACAGTAAAAAAAACGCGGTGCGTTGCACTGTCGGAGCGTGGCCCTCGTGTGAGCGCGCGCGTGGCGCGGCTCGCAGCACGGGTTCTGGCCTCGGGGGGCGCGGATCCGGCGCGGGTTTGCCCGGGAGTCTGGCCGGCTTTGGGAGTGTGAGCGTTCTCGCGGGCCTGGAGGGTGACACCAACACCAATATCGGCGGCGTGCCGCCACCGAGGGAAGAAAGATCCCGATCTCGGTGATGGTGGTAGTCTTCTGGCCTCCAGGGTGGCCGAGATAGTACCACTACCACCAACGACGAAATCCAGGAGCCTCTTCCCCCTGTGGAGGCAACCCCGTGTGTCCGTGTTGGTGCCCCTTTCCAGGCCTCCTGAGTTTGGCATAACTGTACAAAGGGTTCTGGCCCTGGGAGCGCGGATCTGGCGTACAGTCAACCCGCACAGTAAGGTTGAGCGGCTTCCCAAGGGCACCCTTGCATCCTTCCCCTTCGGCCCATCCCTGGCCTCTTTCGCTGGACGCGCCCCGCTCGCAAAAAAAAGAGTGTCGACATGGCCTTCCAAGGCCCCTGCATCCTTGCCCCGCATCCTTACTGTATGGGTTGACTGTACTCGGGCCAGACGCAAGGGGTGGATTGGGAAAGGGGGGGTTACGAAATTCGCTGCATGCAGCTGGTTTCGGCCCCACCGAGGGGCCCAGTCCTCGATACCCTGTCGCCTCCGGCGCCGGGAGGCGCCAGGAAAATCGGCTACGTGAGCCGATTCTCAGACCTCCCCTTTGCTATCCCCCCCTTTCGCCTGACCCGATGTACGCTTCAAAGGAGCTCGGACGTCAGGCTGTCGGCGTCATCTGCGGCGGGAGCCGGCAGCGGGAGCGCGCAGTCTGGCGCAGCGGACTCCGGAATGCCGGCCTCGGGAGCGCGACCCGCGCGGCAGGGGGCAGGCACGACGCCGGCCTCGGGAGCGCGAGGTCCTAGCATACGTCGCTGGGGGCTCTGGCTCCGGGGACGCACGTCCAGCGCACACATGGCTCATCTTTCATGTTTCGAGGGTTCTTTGATTTTCTGGGGGGCCAGGATCCTGTCATCTCTGGTTGCTCTACCCGGTGCCTCTTCCTGGCCACTAGGGCGCCAGGAACAACCAGAAACGAGCACAGTTAGAAATGATCACGGTCAGAACTGAACGGCGTGTAGCGTACTTGAAGAAAAGGGATTCGGGCCTCGGGAGCGCGAAGCTGGTGTGACCTAGACCTGATTCTGGCGTCGGGGGCGTGGACCCCGCGTACCATCGCGCGGACAGCAACAGTTCACAGCAGGAAGCAGAAAGTCAAACTGTTTCACTGGAGCAGGTTGAAAGAAAGCCTCCGCTACGCAGCCTGGTGGCCCCACGATGGGGCCGGCGGATGTGTATGAGTCCCAGGTAGATCATCGATCAAGCTCTAGCCATATTTGGGTTCTGGCGCAAGCTACAGCGCAGCCCGTAAACTCTGTGGCGCGATTTCTGGCGTAACCCATCGCGAAACCCGCTGCGGAGCCCGAGGCGCAACCTCCCGTTCAACGTCTGGCCCAGTGTTTGGCGCAACCCCAATTTCTAGGCATCCCAGATGGGGTCCGATTACATGGGGTCGGAGGATCGCGCCGCATCGCCGACGCATCACCGACGCATCGCCGATGCACCGCCGACGACGCCGGTGCATCACCGATGCATCGCAAATGCATCGGCGATCCGTCGCGATCCTCCGACGACATGTACTCGGACCCCATCTGGGAGTCCCGGGAGACCTTTCCTAAGCGTTTCCCAATACCTCGCCCTGGAAGCTATCCAGAAGGTCCTTCGGAAGCTCTCTCCTGGAGCTCCCGGGCTCCTTCCAGGGGCCCTCGCGCGCTCTTTCTGGCGCCCTGCTATCCGGGCTGGGGACCTCACGAGGCATCGGACCCCCTGTGGGACGCCCCCACAGTCGCAGCCTACTCCAGATTTCGTAATAAAAGGGAGGGGGTCTGGACCCTCCAAGACAAGCCATTTCAGACCTCCCCCGTGGGAGAACCCTCCAAAACACCGTCCCCAGACCCCCCAGGCCCTCCAAGATAGCCTGGAAGAGACCCCCCCCGAAATGAGATCCCCCTCCCTTTATTACGAAATCTGGAGTATGGTGGCACAGCTTCTGACGCAGCGTGCGGCGCGGCCTGTGGCGCAACCAGTGGCGCACCAGCGCCGGCGGAGCGCAGAGCAGCCCGCCCTCACGGCTGCGGCCGGGCTCCGCCTGAGCTGTGCTCTCGCCGTGCGGGCCGGCGGGGCGGTGGGCCCCAACGGCGGGCCTTCCTGCGGATCGAGGTGCCGCTCACGTATAGGGGGCCCAAAAATATACACCACCACCACCTCCCTCCCCCCCTCCCTCTCGCTGGACAGAGGAGAGAGGAGGAATCGACGTGGTGGTGGTGTATATTCTTTGGGCCCCCAACGTACTGAGCAGCTTGAAGCAGACTCGCGGTTCTCTGCCTCTGCGTGAGATTGTTTGTTGTACCCATTGGCGCGTAGCGGTCGTTGTCCGCCCCGCCCCCCTGGCGGGTGTGTGTGGCGATCGCAGCGCACCCTCGCCCCGACGTGCCCTTTCCTGGGCCCCCCCCCCCACCTCCCTGGATAATGACCGATGTTTTTTCCAGAAATACTTGAAAGACTAGTCTCCTACTCCTTCTCCGATCTGGCGCTGGCTCGCACGTCACCCCCCCCCCGCGACCCGCCCGAAACCCATTAGCGACCCACCCGCGACTCACCCTGCGATCCACCCGTGACTCCCCCGCAATCCCCCCCCCGCGACCCCCCCCCGCGAACCAGCAGCTACCCACCCGCGACCCACACCCACCCGCGACTCACCCGCGACCCACCCGCGACCCACCCCGCGACCCGCGCACATTGCTTTAACGAAAAATCGGCGCCTGCGGCGGGTCCCTTGCATAATTTGTAAGAATTCAGCGCCTACGGCGGGCTTGGAGCCTCGCAGACTGCAGACGCCCCCGCCGCCCCCTCGCTCTTGTTTGCAACTGTGGGGTGCTACGCAGCGTGGCCTTCGGCCCCCGCTGACAAGGACCAGCCTCTGCCTGGCGCGCACGTCGCAGCGTGGCCTCTTGCCGCGGAGGATCCTGCAGAGTACGCCCCGTGGGCACGAGGGCTCGGGCCTCCGCTGGGGTCGACCGGCCCGCACCCCTGTCGCGCAGGCCTGGAGGCCTGCGGGCGGCGTGCGCACGCGACGGTCCGTCTCCGCGGCCCGAGGGGCCCTACCCCGCGAGCACAGCCCGACGGAGTCACAGCCCATCCCACGCTATTGGCCGTCGCGTAGTGCGGGGGCGATCGTGGAGGGGGGAGAGAGAGAGGTGCGCACTTCTCGGGCCACAGAGGCCACCTCTGGGTCCCTGGAGGGCCAGTTTTTTGGGGGCCCTGCAGGGTTCCTTCCCTGCAGCCCTCGCTGCTCCCCCCCTCCCCCACGCAGCGATCGTCCCCCCTGTGGAGCGACGCCCAGCGCCACCACCACGTCCTCTGGCCCCTCCCTGCCCGTGTTCTCTCCCCGCCCTCTCGGCCTCGATGCCCGCGCCCTCGCCCTCGCCCCTCTTCCACCACGACTCCCCCCCTTTGGCGGCGCCGCCCCCCGCCGCCTTGCACCTCCGAGCCGGGGTGGCGCCGCGCCCGCGCGGCGCCAGGGGCTGGTTGTATCGCTCCCCCACTTCGGGGAAACGCAAGACTCAAGCAGTGGCGAAGCGTCCTGGGCTCGCCAATAGGCCCACCAACGAATGTTTTTCAGAACCGTCTGTGGTCTGCACGAAATGTGTTTAGAACATGTCTGGCTGAGACGGTCTTGTTGCAACACGTCGGGTTTCTGTTCTAAGAACATTGCTTTTCTTCGAACCGATTTGGGTTCTAAGAGCATGCCGTGGTAGGCCTATAGGATTGCCAGGGCGGTCGGTCCCTGCTTAGAATGGCATCGCTCGGACTCCTGCATCCTTTCTCGGCGAGGACGATCAAGCAGCATCTTGGATCACCCTTTGAATAGAGAACACGCACGAAGCCGAGACGTGCACGACGGACGTCCGAGCGATGGCGCGAGGACCCGAGTAGGCCAGAACTCGGGTTTGCCGACGTTTTTTGACGAGTGCGTCCTGGATTTTGGCGGTCTAGTTTTCTTGGGATGTTTGCAGCGGGAGCTCGCGCCACATCTCAGACTGGGCCTCGTCATTTTCATGATGGCCCCGTCAGGCCAACCCGCGTCCCCCGAACCCGAGTCTTGCGCCTCCCTCCCCCTCCCGCCGAGCGTGTTGCTGCGCGATCGCGATCGGCCGCCACCGATCGACGACCGAACAGGTCTGGCACCCGATGATCAGGGTCTGCCGGCCCCTCTCCCCGCGTCTCGCCCTCTTGCACGGCACTGCTGCGCTGTCGGCTGCAGCTGGACCGCGAGTGCTCAGAGCGTCCCTAGCTTTGGAGGGGGTCCTGGTGTGCTCTTCTCATTTGGGCTCTCGACCTTGGAGGGTTCTTCGTCTGCGGAGTCCCCGTGGTGCTCCGGGCCTTCGGCGGAGGGGCTCATGCTTCTGACCCACGCTATTGGCTGCCACGTTTCGACTGGACCTCTGACGCCACTCTGCTCCGCCTCCCCGTGTAGTCTCGGTGGGCCACCGAGCCACGCCTGGGCGCTCTCGGGGAAGCCTGTGTAAGAGCGATCGAGAGAGAAGGAGAGAGAGAGAGAGAGATTGACAGAGAGATAGAGAGAGAGAGAGAGGGTGCGAGAGAGCGAGAGAGCGAGAGAGCGGTGCAAGCGAGGTGGTAACCTTTTGCTGAGCGCGTCCCGCCTGTGTGTCTTGAGGACCACTGGCCATAACCCATCTGCGCGTTTCCCTGGAAGAAGCGCTTGCGACAGCAGGCTGCCGTCGCAGGGTTATGGACAGTTTCGGTGACGAGTGGACCTGACCGTTCTGTCCGCCAAATTCGGTGCCTTTCCATCGAGCTGGAACTGTGGGCCATGCGCTTTCCTCTCCTAGTCGCCGACTTTGCATCGATCATGCCTGCACCTGTCCCTTCATGCTTCCTTCCTGTGTCTCCATCCTTCTGCCCATCCTCGCCCGCATTGTTGGGGTGACCTGGTGCCCTTTGGCCGATTCCAGTGGCAGCAATGTTCTACCCCGAGCCTACGAGGTCTGCCATAATTCATTTATTGAACCAGTGGAATTCCAAGCTCAGTCGGAACGTGCTTTCTCGGTCCAATGTTTGCCGATTCATCTCTGGATTGAGAGCTGGAGCCCGAGGCCCTGCGCCCTGGATGCTCTACACAGGAGTCCATCCAGGAGGTGGTAACCGACGTGTGTCTGCAGGCTGCTTGGGGCCGCACGTTCCTCGCAGCATCCACTTGTCAATGTCATTTCAAGGTTCAAGAGCGATGACCATTTCTGCTGCTCCGCTGTTGCTACATGCTGCCCTTGCACACTCGCGATTCACATTCCTTGCAGTTTCATGTGCCCATTGTTTTTCGGAACAGCGTGAGAGGCTGAGTGCTGCGAGCTTTTGTTTCCATGGAGCACCACGGCCAAACCTAGAATGACTGAGCCGATTGAGGTGGACACCATCTTCGGCGTGCCCAAGCTGCGCGAGCCAGATCCTGAGCAGACCTGCGCTTATTTCATGCGAGCCAGGTGGCATGCCTAGTAGAACTGGGAGTGAGCCATATGTAAGGCGGGCTTCCAAAGATTCCAACGGCCGAGCCGAGCCCAGTTTCTTTGTCGGCCCGACCCGGAGTCCGAATAAGAGCCGCGGCGCCCCGCACTGCCACACTGGCGAATAGCCCGGCGTGAGACGCCACTGTTTTCCGTCCATGCCGCTTGTTTGAGGGGGACGATAGATCTCCAAAGGTGTCCGCATTCATTGTGCAACGGCGCGCGCGTATCCAGGCTGTAGCTCGTCGCTCTTGATTCGGGGAAAGAGAAGCGGCACCATGACCACCAGAGGTGCCACCTCCAGCGAGGAGGTCCACTATGCCTCCCCGGGTTGGGCACAGAGGATGTCTCAAGCGGGGACGGGGACCACACCCTTGGGAGGACCCTCCCTTGGCGCCTCGCTCTGGTGGTGTCGTGTCTCCTGGTTCCTGTGTGATGCAACAGGGTTCTAGCGACCAGCCCAAGCGGACTCTTGCACTGGCACGTATGATCAGGCGGTGGCCGTCACCTTCGCGAAGCTCCGGCACGGGTATGCAGGGGCCTTGCAATCATAAAGAAATGGGACCCTTGGTTTTACGTCTTACCGTAGGCGCAGCGGCATGGTTTTGCCCTGTAGCACCGGGGACCAACCTAACAAGCAGACAGGCGCAAACGCAAGCAGGGCGGCCTGCGCGAGTGCGAACAAGCTTGCATGTAAGCACGCACGCAAGCAAGCAATGAAGTAACAGAACAAGGGGCATGACATCACGAATGCAAGCATGCAGTCAAGCACGTGTGCAATCACGAAAGTCATGACCAATCAATTAGGCATCGAAGTTTGGCGCTGATGCTGATGATGACCATCCGGGTCCACACACAGGCATTCACAGTAGGGTGCGCACACAGAAGCATGCGCACACCGCACACGCATCGCGTGCACATCGTATGCGCAAACGCCTATCACGGCGCTCGGGCGTGCGCACGCGCAAGCGCACGTGCAGACGCACACGCGCACGCTCAGCTCCGCCAGCAGCCCGCTGCGCAACAGCGCGGCCGAGCCCGGTGCCACGCAGCATCTGCAGTGATCGCTCGCTGCCGGCGAGCAGGGGCGGACGCGGATGGGAGCGGCGCGGAGCGCGCTGGGCTTCGGCATCCTCCCCGCGCTCGGTCGAGCGGGGGAGGCCGCCCCCGCCTTTCGCCGAGGGTCCAGGCGGTCGCAGCTCTGCGCGAGGCGGGCGCGGCAGCCAGGCAGCAGCCCGCGATGGGCCTCATCTTCGGCGCAGCTCGCTTCCGGCGGGAGCCAGCGGCAGTCTTCCGAATCCCTCATTCATCGTCCCCCGGGTCAGGCTTTTTGAGGCGCCTCTTTTGTAACTGGTGGGGTCCGGTTCATTAGGGCGCTATCTTTGGATTGGAGCCTGGGGGGTCAGGTTTATCAAGGCGCCCCGTCGAAGAGGGTGGTCCGGAATATGAGGTCGCATTTGGAGGGGGGTCCGGTTTTTTAGGGGGGGGGCGATTCATAAGGGATTTGGAGTAAGTGGCGGCGGGGCCGCCAGCGGAAGATCGGCGGACGGCGGTGGAAGCAAAAGCGAGACTTCAGCTTGTTTGGTGTCAGGGTTTCCGCAGTCGGCCAGGTTGGGAAGGATTCCAACGAAACATCCATCCCACCAGCGCTGCTCCTGGCAATTGGGAATTGCTCGCGCACTTCCGTCGCCAGCCCCACCAAATGGCGACGCATGGAAGGGTCATTGGATTTCGACCGCAGTTGCGCGCATGGAAGGGCCGGGATGGAAGGGCCAACGGACCCAAGACGATCGCGCGCGTCCGCATTTCTCCGTATAGTGTAGAGAAATGCGCCCCTAGAAATAGACTTCCTAAACCTTGTCGCATATGTTGTCTTGCACCGCTGGTGATGCACACAGTTTTACCGATCTGGTACCCATTGTCTGGACCAGAGTTGTCATACTTAGACAGGGCGACAGATTTCGCCATTGACGTGCGAGAACTGCGAACCGCGGTACTTGGTCTCGCAATCCCGCCCTCGTATAAGGTTAACACGGGCGGGCCTTGGCCTTCCTTGCGGCACGCAAGAAACCCATGCCGATCGCAACGTCCAATACGTAGGTCAAATTGTGCTGTGATAGTTCCAGTGCAGTCGTTAGTCATTTGTTGCATCCAGGCCGTGCAGACAGGGTTTTGTGTTTGGTTGGACCCGCTCGCGCGATTGATCGCAGCTGGCCGCTCATCGCATTCGATATGGTTTGTTCGCCGCCGAGCATTGACATGTTGTCGCGATAGCCTGCAGAAGGCAGCAATTTAAAACGGAAAGGGACTTTTGCATATGAGTCGGCACGTCATGAGCAGAAGGAAGAAAGGATGATGAGGATAAGGTTGGTTCAGTTTGGGTGGCCCAGATCGCACCGGGGACTCGAATTGTGTAAGTGTTCGTGATTGGGTGGCTTGGACTGGGCATATTCCCCTTTGTCTGTCCTCCGAATCCGCCGCATCCCTTCGCAAAGCGGGACTTCTTTTTGTTCCGTCCTGTATCAACCGAAGTGTTTGGGGCTGGCCAGCCTGGACCGATTCCGTGGCAGAGAATGTGTGTCGTCATGCCAGGCGTTTCTACGTTCGCGCTTCTTCTACAGGATATGCATGTTCCGAAGAGAGAGGTGGGCGGCAAGTTAAAATCAGAGTGAGGGGGCCAAACGGTCATTCATTGTCCCTGGGTGCGTGGCTGAAGTAGGGATCCGTGGTGAGGATTATCTTTGTTGCTTTGTTGTTGTTTGTTTGTTGTCGTTGTCCCACCCGCGACCCACCCGCGACCCAACCCGCGACCCACCCCGCGACCCAACCCGCGACCCAACCCGCGACGCACCCCGCGACCCATCGGCGACCCAACCCGCGACCCACCCCCGACCCACCACGCGACCCACCTGCGACCCACCCGCGACCCACCTGCGACCCACCCTGCGACCCACCCCGCGACCCACCCGCAAGCCACCCGGCGACCCATCCGCGACCGAACCCGCGACCCACTTGCGACCCACCCGCGACGCACCCCGCGACCCAAAAGCGACCCACCCGCGACCCATTTGCGACCCACCCGCGACCCACCCGCGACCTACCCACATTGGTTTAACAAGAGGCACGCGTGCCAAGGATCATACAATCACCGATGTGGGACACTGGGGGGTGGAGGTGGCGCCAACTTGTGGCAGTTCACGGAAAGCGCGCCACTGCTGCGACACGCTGAGCCATGGCGTGGAGAAATTGTGTGCTATTGGCGTCTCTGTGACTCTTCGGGGCCATGTTGCAATCGGGCGTCTCTGGGGCTTATTGGGGGTCTCGTGTGGGCCCGTCTGGGGCTCTTTTGGGCCGTCTTCGGGCAATCTTCAGCTGCCCTGGGGCCTTCTTGGCCCATCGTGGGGACTCGGGGGGGGCCCGGGGGACGGCCGGAGGGGGGCACGGCCGGTGGGTCGGAGCAAGCAGGCGGGGGGGGCCACGGGGCGGAAGGGGCGGGACAGACGGGGGGGCACGGTCGGTCGGTTGGTCGGAATGATCAAACGGGTGCCACGGGGCGGGGGGGGCACGGTCGGTCCGGTTGGTCGGTCGAAGAAGCACACGGGGGCCACGGGGAAGGGGGACGGGAGAGCACAAATGGGCAAGGGGGGCACGGTCGGTCGGTCGGTCGGAAGAAGCAGACGGGGGCCACGGGGAAGGGGGACGGGAGAGCACAACTGGGCAAGGGGGGCACGGTCGGTCGGTCGGTCGGAACAAGCAGGCGGGAGCCACGGGGCGGAGGGGAGCGGAGGGGGAAGGGGGACGGGAGTGCACGCATGGGCAAGGGGGGCACGGTCGGTCGGTCGGTCGGTCGGTCGGAATATGCAGACGGGGGCCACGGGGCGGGTGGGGGGCACGGTCGGTCGGTCGGTCGGGTCGGGGGGGCGGACGGGAAAGCGCGCATAGGCAAGGGGGGCACGGTCGGTCGGTCGGTCGGTCGGAATACGCAGACGGGGGCCACGGGGCGAAATGGTGGGGGGCACGGTCGGCCGGTCGGTCGGAATACGCAGACGGCCGCCACGGGGATGGGGGGGCACGGACGGTCGGTCGGAATGATTAACGGACGGCCGCCACGGGGCGGAGGACGGGGGGCGTCGTCGGTCGGTCGAACAGAAGTAGACGGGGGCCCCGGGCGGGGCGCGGGGGACCAGGGGGACGGGAGGCACGGTCGGGCAGGGGGGGGGGCACGGTCGGTCGGTCGTTCGGAATCAGCAGACGGGCGGCCAAGGGGCGGAGGGGGGGGGTGCACGGCCAGCCGGTCGGGACAAGCAGACGGGGACCACGGGGTGGAGGGGGGGGGGCACGGCCGGTCGGTTCGGCGGAATTAAGCAGACGGGGGCCACGGGGCGGATGGGCGTGGGGGGGAACAGGGGGACGGAAGGGCACGGTCAGGCGGGGGGGGCACGGTCGTCGGTCGGTCGGAATTAGCAGATGGGGGCTACGGGGTGGAGGGGGGGGGCACGGTCGGTCGGTCGGTTAGGCAGACGGGGTCCACGGGGCGTTGGGGCGCGGGGGGGGGGGCAGGTGTACAGGAGGGCGCGGTCGGGCAGGGGGGGCACGGTCGGTCGGTCGCGGTCTGAAGAAGCAGTCGTGGGCCACGGGGTGGAGGGGGGAGGGGGGAGCACGGTCGCTCGGTCGTTCGGGATATGCACACGGGGGCTATGGGGCGGAGGGGCGCGGGGGGGGAGCAGGGGGACGGGAGGCACGGTCGAGCAGAAGGGGGGGGGGGACGGTCGGTCGGTGGGTGGGAATAAACGGGGGGACGCGGGGCGGAAAGGGGGGAGAGGGCACGGTCGGTCGGTCGGTCGGAATACGCAGACAGGGGCCACGGGGCGGAGGGGGGGGGGGCACGGTCGGTTGGTCGGTCGGAACAAACAGACGGGGGCTACAGGGCGGAGGGGCGCGTGGGGGCGCTGGGGGACGGGAGGGCACGGTCGGGCACGGGGAGGGGCCACGGTCGGTCGGTCGGAATCAGCAGACGGCAGCCACGGGGCGGAGGGGGGGAGGGGGGCACGGTCGGTCGGTCGGTCGGTCGGAGCAGGGGCCATGGGGCGGAGGGCGTTGGGGGGGGGGTCGGGATGGCACGGTCGGGCAGGTGGGGCACGGTCGGTCGGTCGGTCGCAAAAGGGGCCACGGGGCGGAGAGGGGGATGGCACGGTCGGTCGGTCGGCCGGAATCAGCAGACGGGGGCCACGGGACGGAGGGGCGCGGGGTGGAACGGGGGGGGGCGGCAGGGCATTGTCGGGCAAAGGGGGGAGGGGGCACGGTCGGTCGGCCGGTCGTAATCAGCAGACGGCAGCGGGGCGGACGGGGGAGGGCACGGTCGGTCGGACGGTCGGAATAAACTGACGGGGGCCACGGGGCGGAGGTGGGCACGGTCGGTCGGTCGGTCGGCCGGAATATTCAAGCAGACGGGGGCCACGGGGCGGAGGGGGGCAGGCGAGTGGGGGGCACGGTAGGTCGGTCGGTCGGTCGGAATAAGCAGACGGGGGCCACGAGGCGGAGGGGTGCGGGGCAGGCGCAGCACACGGGGGCGGCACGCACCCAGGCCACACCCTAGCTTGTATCCCAGCACGCGAAGCCATCACGTATCCCAGCACGTATCCCAGCACACGGAGGCAGCACACAGCTTTGCACACGTCCCAGCACACGGAGGCAGCACACGTCCCAGCACACATCCCAGTCCAGTGCACATCCCAGGCACGGTCGGTAGGTTGGTCGGAATAGTGCAGTGCGAGCTCACACCAGCAGGTCTGATAACGAAAACAATCGGCGCATGCGGCGGGCTCGTTTGATAATTTGTACAATGTTGACGCCTGCGGCGGGCTTCTCCAGAGTCTCGTAAACTGCCGACGTCACCACCGCCCCCCTCACTCTTATCCGAAGCTGCGGGGTGCTACGTATGTGTTCGGTGGGTTTCAGCGGGACAAGTCAATTGGCTTTGAATATGTTCTCCAGGAATTGATCAACCTTTTTTGCTGGAGCTTGTCAAGACAGTATTGGTGTGCCTTCTGGAGCTAGTTGGGCAGCGCACGTATGATGGTATATCTGAGTGCAGCGAAGATCATTGGCGAGCACGCTCGTCAGAGTGTTTACTCTGCCATGTTCGTGATTGCGTCACCCAGGTGGATGGGCGAGACCATGGAGATTCGCGCAAAAAGTTGTCATCCTGAGCCTGGGAGCACCCCTTACGTGGACAACGGGAGTAGCACTCGCAATGGCATTCAGATGGCTTGTGCTAGCATTGCGGCGGGATTGATCAGCGGCGGTGTTGGCAACAGCAGTGCGAGCCACCGCAGTGGTGGGACGCATATGGGCAGTCTTCCAGGCATGCTGGAGCTCTGTTGAGGGAGTCTGGGAGAGCATTGTGTGCAAACGGATTTGAGGGTGTTTGGGAAAATAGTGCGTTCAACAGTGGTGGGTGCAGCAGCGTGGGTGGGGATGACCGCACTTTGAGATGCAGCGACCCGCTCATGAGCCAGCGGAGGAGGCGGACGTGATTGAGCCAGGGTAAACCCAGCACGCCCTCACGCCCCTGTCCCGCCCCCATTGCTCTCATATATCAGCGCAGGTCTTCCTTTCACTGCGGTGAACGCCTCGCTGGAGAGGCGAGGACCCCAGGGGCCTGCATGGTGAGAGCCCCGTGGGAATAAGGCGCGCTTCAGCGGCCCATCTGAGATTCGACCGCACGGTGCCGCAAGGTACACTGAATTTGAGATGGGCGCCAGCTGGAATTTCGATCGACTGGGGTCACATAGGGGATGCCGTGGTCCACAGCTTGTGGGGGACGCGCCAATTTCGGCCCGACCGACCTGGGGGCCCCGTAGCGACCACAAACCCTCGTTTTTCCATTCGTCGCCTCTACGAACAGCGCCGACGTCGAGAGTCGATCTCCGCGCGCACGCGGTCACGCCTCCACTCCGAGCAGTCATGCCGTAGGAGCGCAGGCGCCCGTGCGAGGAGGGGCACGGATGCTGAGACCATGCCGCCCCTCTGCCGAGCAGCTGCTCGCTCTCGTGAGCTCTTCTTCTGCGTCGTGGGGAGCCGGCCGAGCTCACGAAGCGTTCCACCGGCAGGTGCAGGCGGGTGCCTCGCGCGCGCCCGCATGTCTTGGCTGGCGCTCCCGTGCTCTCGGCCACCGGGCGCCCCGCGGGCATGCCCACGTGCGGTGGTTGGCGTTTCCAGATGTTCGGCCCGTGCGCGCCTCGTGCCTCGTGGGTGCCCGCGTGCGCGGCCAGCGTTTCCAGTCTTTCGGTTGGTGAGCGCCCGTGTGCGCTTCGTGGGCACCGAGTGGATCGCACCACGTACATATCACCATGCACAGATTGCAGATTGCACCAGACAGGCTTCACGACACAGGCCACGCTGCATGTGTATATCGCAGCCGGCACCCTTGGAGGCCGGTTGGGCCGTCTGGGGGCCATCTTGAGCGTCTTGGAGCGATCGTTCGGCGACCCAGGGCTTTCATGGACCGTCTGAGGATTTTTTGGGACCCACGTTGGCCCGTTCTGGAAACGTCTTGGGGACCTCTTGGGCCGTTTTGCGGCCCTCTTGGGGCGTCTTGGGGCCTTCACGCGACAAACCGCGACGGGTTCCAGGGTGCACGCGGGAAGCCCCAGGAGAATTCACAATCTGGGCTCAGGGCTCTTAACGAGACTCCGCAGGAGTTAGGATT